ATCCCCTAAACTTCCGGCTCTCATACGAATAAAACACCTTGATATACGATGTAAGTCTCACGTGTGTATAGGACTTATTATGCGAGTTTCTGTTTTATTCATATGCAGTTGGTTGCATAACCTACATTGTGTATAGGCATCAGTTTTAGCTTGTATTTCATTTATCTATTTATTTGGTCTCACAAGTATGTTCAAATACATAAAATGGTAAAGGGCAGCTTAAGCAAATATTTTACTCTAACTCAATTAACGTCAGCTGCACCAATTTCCAATCAAATCAAATGTAAACCTTTATTTCAAAATTTTGCAGCATTACAAAACGAAAATGAAAAATAAATACAATGACTCCAAACCCAGGAAATCATAACCAAAATTAGTTAGAAGATAATATAAGACTAGATAACAAAATAATGCATATTGCTTTATAATACAAATTACGATTATTATAAAAATAAATATACAGTACTACAATGAATATAACTACACAGTATGATATACATAGAATATATGGCACTGCATAGTAGGCCTATGCCAGTTAATGCTTCATAGTATTGCATAATATGAAAATGAAATATAAATTTAATGAATCGAACTCAGGAAATCATAATTGCCTATAAATACTATGTTTATGAGATTGAATTTGTTGTGGAAAGAAAAAGATCATGTAATACATCAAATGAAATTTAGAAAAAAAAGGAATATACTATAAATACCAAAATTATGTAGGTCAATGAGTTGTAACAAAGAAATTATTGCTTAAATATGCTGCTTAGGAATGTAAGGGTAGTGTGGAATGGGATACACACCAGAGGCTATAGGCCTACAGGCGCAGACATTGTTAACCATGTTCACATCTGCTGCCAGCTAGCATATAGGGAGGTGGGTTAGTTTACTAAACTAATGTACAGTATTATAGTGTGTCTGGATTTATGCTGATGTGGTACATTTTCATGAATATTCATGTACATCTTCATGGATATTCATTACCATATGCTTTGTGTAATATCTATTGCATCATAAATTTGAGTATTGATCTTCATGTTGTTTTGATGTTTTCTGTTAATGCATTTTTTCTTTTTTGTAAATAAAAATCCAACGATTTTGTTATATCAGCCACTGGGTACCCCTCAGAGGCGTCTGCCAGTGGTGCAAATTGTGATGTTTGCTTATTGCTAGTTGTGTCTGTTAATAGTGCTTGTTGGCGGTGAATGACAGTGGTGCCTGTCAGTGATGTCTGCCGGTGCCCCCCCCCCACCAACCCACAAAAATGGTGTCTGTCAGTGGTGTTTGTCGGTGGACTCTGTCGATTGTGTCTGCCAATGAGTTTGGCAAGCCTGCTTATATCTATATACTGTGTGTCTTAACTGTGGCGGTGGCCCTTTCCTTACATTTCTATCACTCCTGTTATACCCCTACTGTTGGATTCCTTTAGGATTTCGGCTTTACCCACCTGAACAAGAACCAGTTCTTAAGGTATATTTTAGTTCATTGATATGTAAATTACAGGCTAATATATTGTTTTGTATATTTTCCTTAATCTATATACATTGAAGAAAAAATTAATAAAATACTTTTGATTCTAATGTCAATGTATGACAATAGATTATATGGCAGAACATCATTAATGTGGAAAGGCTAAATATGAAATACTGTATATCTCATTCTCAAACAAATATTTATAGTATTTTTAAATGGCTTCTTCCCAGACAGAATATCTTTCTTAGACAATAGTTGGTAAATCTTTATTAATAATTACCCATGGTTTATTGAGCAAAATTCGTCCACCTTAAAACAGAATTCTTTTTATGTTATGACTTGATAACAATAAGTACATTCCTTGTTACCATCTCATAATATCGACCAATCAGTGAGTTGCATGACCATATTTGGATCAATATTTAACCAATCAGTGAGCTGCTGGACCATACAGGTAAGCAAAGTGGATGTATTTAGATCAGTGACAAAACATGTTTATGAAGTACTGTTTCCGGTGGTTGTCTTTTCCCTGAATGAACAATTGGCATACCTGATTAGGCTATGATCATGGGGACTGGAATTCCAACCAGGTCGAACACAAAACAAAATAGATCAGGCAAAAAATCATGACATCTAGTTGTCACGTTCAATATTCCAAAACAAAAATATCAGATTGCAATTCCTTGGTGATTTCACCTATTCAACTATCTAATATTTTGTTTTAATAGGGATTTTAATAATTCAATAATACTTCCGCATTTACATGGAAATTAGGTATGAACATGTTTTTAAGTGAGACATGGTAGATTGGGTGCTCACTTTTAAGTGTCAAGGCTTTTGGTTCAATCCTCAATCAAGGATTCTACAAATAAGAGCCTTATAAGAGAATTGGTTTTAGAGTACTTAAAAATGTTTTATCATATTGGATGGACAGGTATATGATCATATGATTTATATATATCAAAATACAAATTTTGGCAGTTTAAAGCATGATTTACTTTTTTGTAGCGCGAAAAGAACTGCTAGCTATTTTACCAATAGAGGTCTCCCTCTAATTAAAGACCCCTCCAATTAAAGACCACTTTCCTATGGTCCCAAATTAACATGTCTTATCTTATTATTCTACTTAGAGACTAAAGCTTTAAGACCATGGAAATCCCGGTCCCAAAAGTGGTATTTAATTGTGGATGGATCTAGTCAACATCCCCAGAATCAGTTCCAGTTATTTGCTATTAAATGAGTAAGAAATTTTGAAAAGTATTTTAAGATCAACCTTCTTGTTTTCAATATAACCAATGCCTTACTAAAAAAAAAAAACATATATATATTATTAGTGGCTCGTGTCCAAATAACCTGACAACCTCAACAGCCGAAACAAATCAGATAAAGAAAGTGAAACCGGATGAAATATTTCCAGTATCTATGAAAGTGGCAAGTTTATGTGTACTGATATACATTCAAAGAGCTATCAAAACTACTGGACTTTCGAGTGGTTCATTTTTTCCGGCCCGTCAACAATGCAACCGACTCATTGGCACTGAAGGAACATATGCCACTGTAGGAAATATAATGCATGCAGGAGAGTGACATCATCAGGTGGGACTCACATATATTTCCAGCCAGCTGATAATAAGATTCATAGCTATGCTTTAATTGCTCTTTTTCTAAAATTTTTGAATTGTGGCTTTGAACAACCCGTTTAATGAATGATTTTTTTTCATTCACATTTAAAACTTCTGGCTTCGAATCTTCCTAGGACTCCAGGGTATGGGTCTTAAAAGAGAATCTCCAGAAATTCAGGTTTCTAAACATTTAGGAAATCCATTAAAATGGTTTTTTAGTATGTACAGTATTCAACTATATCATATTATATACAAACAAAAATGTCTAGTTAGTTAATCCTCAAATCTGGTGGTTGAATTTTTCTGCCGAAAATCTATTTAGATTATTAAAGACTTCAATTATACCCTTTCTACGTCATTCTAATCTTGAAAACTATTTATTGGCAACAATGCAATTTTCCGTATTTTTACTTAATTTATCAGCGGTGGGGTATACAGCAATAACAAAAATAAGAATAATCTGCATGATTAAGCATGTCTGGAAAATAGATCGTTTGTAAATTCCCAGACCCTACGTTTTACCAAATATAACTTTGGAGTTTATGGAAAATCAATGTAGACAACACAATCACAGCTATTACTGTCAGTGCTAGATATGATTATGAATGTAGTAAAATAAAAGAAAGGATATAAAAAGAAAATGAAAACCAAGGAATATAAAGAGAAAGGTAAATAATGATGAAAAGAAAATGAAAAGAAAATTTAAAAAGAAAATGATAAGGAAAATAAAGAGAAAGGAAAATGAAAGGAAAGAAAAATGAATAAAGATTAAAAAATGAATTAGAGGAATGGAAATTAGAAGTGCTATATTTATTAAAAATTGATTACAATAACAATAAACGAAATTTATAAAAATTATGAAAAGGTATCATTTATGTAAAAATCATGAAAGTCACCTTGAGTTATTGCACTTCCGACTGTAAACGTGCACAGAAGCCTATACATTATGAATTGCATAAATTCATGATTATAATTATTAATTGTAAATAAAGTTTGTTTTGCCTTGAAGTGATAGTCTGAGAGTATAGATTAACGAATTCACCAGGGAATCCGACCTCGGAACACAATCTATGCTATGGACCTGGTTCAATATTGATGGGAAGCAATCACACAAATGTTTTCTAAATTCTTAATTTCTCATCTAAAACTGCTTAGGTAAATGCAAACAGTTCTGACTGACAACAAACAACTGGAGATGCCATGGGGAAGGTTAATCGAAATCAAACAACCGCCGGTTCACTGAACGTCAACGCCAAAAGCCAAAGCGGAACACTACAATGTATCCAACGGAAAAATGTTGAAAACAGACTCATAACTACAAACATAACAATAATAATCTTAGTTGGTACAAATACAACTATTGTATCCAGAGTTTAAAAGTTGATTACTTTTTGAATAGATAATTTAATAAGACTTCAATCAACAGAATTCAATAACAATCACTGTGTTAATATATTTCTTGTTCCTGAGCTTTTATGATTGTATTTTTTCTGTTATTGTATGTATATTGGAACCAAATAAATTCAAATTAAATATAATCAGACTTACTGATCCTATCAAAATGCTTTTAGTTAATAAACTTAAACAACAAAATTCAACATTAAATCACTCTTCATACTTATTATTTAACTTTCATTTGAAAATTGGAATGGGAAAAAATCTTATCAATCAACAACCAACCACATTACTGTAATAACAAAATTGCCTAGTATTAAAATAAAGCATTTAATGGATTATACATATAAATGTATATATATATATATATACGTTGATAAAGATGGCAGGAGCTATCGAAATATCCATTTGTTTTTTTTTATCGCTTAATAAATTTGTGTTCCAAAAGCTGTCTCTTATACACATCTAGATGTGTATAAGAGACAGATATAGGCCTATACCATGTTACCTTCAATTATACTCAACCTCTGAATTGTATTTATCCAGAAATATGCCAGAATTCGATGTTGAATTACAAACCGTGTAGGCTTGACACCTTGACCTCTGATGAATAGTGTCCAAAATTTGCTACAAAAATGTAATACAATAATTAAATATTGATGATTATTGTTTATTTTCGGAAAATATTTCAGCCAGTCTAAGCATCTTTCCTATTCATCATCCTTCCTATATTTTTTTATATTTTGCATTATTTGTTGACAAATAAATATATCTTGTAGTAATCAATTAAAAAATCAATAAAAATGTAAAAATTTCGAAAGGGCAAGTGGAGATGGATATTAATATTTTAACTTTGCATTCATTCTTTATTCTTCTTGCTTATTGTATATACCAATTTTCTTAAGTTTTTGTATATAATTTCTTTATTATTTAATATTTTAAACATGTTTTAACTGTTAAATGGACCTTAAGAAAGAGCAATGTCATTAAGTAACCAGAATAAAGACAAATTTCTATCTACCTATTATGTGCACCTTACAAAATGAACAATATTATTTGCTTGAACTTTTAATACCTCTTTCTATATTTAATTGTAGGTTTGGTTTTTCGTTCAAATGTAGTGAAAATGGGTACTTATAATTTATAATTCAGGTTTCTCAACCATCAGTTATGTTTATGATAAAAGCAGTTTTATTTTATTTATGTTTTAATACTGGTATGTGTTCTTCGAGACTGTGCCTTAAAGGGTTCTCTAGGTCAAATATCTTTTTTTTTACAACATATATTTTATATACAGCCTATTGGACTATGTAAGGAGTTTGAATGGTTTTCAAATTGAGTATGCTCTGCAAATGCTATCCACATCCTGTATTGCTTTTTTTTGTGTCATTATATGTTTTATATAAACCAAAAGAGTCTAAAGCCTATCCAAACTATCAAAACATGTGACATGCCTAAATATGGTCATGATGACATCACATCATGACCATATATAGGTACGTCATGACTATATATGGGCATACAAAAGCTTTTTATCAAAGAAATTTGAAAATCTAGACAGAGCTTAATAAAGTTGAAATAAATAAAATTTTGATATTTTATTACAGTATACTAAAAAACAGTTTTGTAACAGTTGATCAATGCAGCTTAAATTACAATCCAATAACAAACAATCAATAACTACCATATTTGTAAACTTCCGGTTGTGATAAATGTAAAAACAATATTTTGTAAGTACAGATAAGGAAGTCGTTAACAGCGTTGACAAGTGAAAACACAATAAATTAGCATTTATTAGCGCAACAAAAACATGACATTGACTATACACTTGTACCAGCATGCTCATCAAAATTGAAAACTACTATTTTTATTATACATCACGCCAGTATTCAGAGGCACAATCCACTTTCTTGGAGGCATTTTTTTTTTTTTTAATTTGATTTATCCCCATCCCAGTCAAGCATTACATTATTTTGCTATATATAGTATACCAATACAATCTGGTGCTGGAAACAAATCAAAACACTTTATTTACAAATCAACAGACGTTTAATATACAACTTTAACACAAAATTCACTGACAAAAAGTTTCGTGTCCACCATGGACGCATTTTCAAGATCAAGTGAACAAAAAATAAACATATGATAGAAAACCAAATGTAGGTGACATGAAGTGGGATTAAACAGTCACGTGATTAACACCTATTTAACAAACAAATAAATAAATTTTAAAAATTCAAATGATATTTTACAAGTAGCCTCTCCTGACTTATCTAATTTAATCGTTGCTTTAATTATGGTTATCTGGAAAAAAGTTACTATGAAATTTAGAGTACAGTTTGTTTTCTTAGTTTGAAAACCCAGACATCGTCAAACATTCCAGCCTGAAATTGACAAGTTTCTATGGAAACACTATTTTCTTATAATCCCTAAATCCACTAGAGCCTCAGAGAACCTTTTAGGGTTACGACCTACTGTAAGAACCTGTGTTATCCAGCTGCTGACGAGAGGAGTCAGTGACCTGTATGCTCAGAAGGTATTAAAATGACATCCCATACTAGGATAGTAGCGTCAAATGACCTGAAATCTAGGATTAACCATAGAATTTCTAGCAACATTTTTTTTATAATTGGATCCAGTCCTGTGGCTTTTCAACCCAGGCCCTTAACCTTGTAATACAAAAGACACTGCTCAAACTGGTTTTACCTTTTCTGGGTCATCAATCTGAGTTGTTTGCTGAAGCAAAGTAGAAATTTCACGGCATATATACCTGGTCATTATTTACAGTGCTTTCGGAATTCTGTGCTTCCTTTTCCGAGTTGACTTTTCGCAGCTTTTTTTCCTTTGAGTAGTCTTGGCTTACCGCCAATCAACTAATCATACATCCAGTTATATAAACAAATCAAGGAGAATTTTTTATAAGGGTAGAATTCGGTGTTTGTTTTATCACAGGCTGTTATAGCACAAGTGGAAATATTACGTGATTCATTGAAATACTTGTGTACGTTACAGAGAATTTACAATTCTTAAAATATTTTAATTGACCTGTGTATGGATACATTAGTTTCACTTGCCATTGATTTGTTTGACACCGTCCATCAAAATGTTCACAAAATACAATATAGTTCATGGAAAGTGAAACCCAATAATTTTGTTTATTTTATATGGAAATACCAGATAAAACATACTGTGATCAAATAATCAAAAATTATATATAACATAAAAAAGATTTAATACCAGATTTATCTGAAGATACATGTATTTATTTTATTTATTCATTAAAATGTTGTTTAGTGAGTTGACAATCAAGAAGCCCTCAGCTTTTAAAATACCTTATGAGACACAGAAAAAATTACAAATAAAAAAGAGGCAATGCCAAAAATACAATTTATCAACTGAATGGAGGACATTTTTGAAATAACCTGAAGGGAAGGCAAGATGGTTCTTTGATTCTGAATTGAATAAGAAAATGTCCCTGACTTTAGGCACAATAATACAACATATTAGTTTATCACCCTCGTGTGCATGCATTCTATGGTACTGAAGAAAAAAAAACTTTGAAAAAATGTTTTTTTTTATGAAAAATGAAATACTTAGGCACAACAAACTTATTAGTTTATCACCCTCATGTGTATGTCTTCTATGGTACTACAGAAAAAAAAAATTGAAAAAAAATTTTTTTTTTAAATTAATATTTTTATTTCTTTTTTTTTTCTTAATTTTTTTAATTAAATAGTTAGGAGATATTGTCTGTATTATCTCAATCATGTTTTACTTTAAATATCAATTCACCAGCAAACAACCCAAGGGTGATATTTGGCTTTAGCAATATAAAAAAATTTTTTAAAAAAAACCTCCCTCCCTCAACACTTTTTCAGCCTTGATAGGGTGATAAATTAATAACTTTTTTTTATAGGGCCTTATTGGAAACTGACCTCCATGTATAAATAGATTTTGTACTGTCTTTAATGATAAACCTATAAAATCGAATGAATGAATTTGTGGTTGATTTTGAGTTTGCCTTGTGTGTTGCTACATCCTGATTCGTGATCTACTGTAGGCCATTAAATGTTTCCTTTATTTTATATTACAAATAGAATAATAAATAAATACATTCATGCTGTGTCTGGAAAAATAAAATAAGCTGACTACAGTATAAATAATGTGACAAAATTTACTATGGATAGAGATGATGAAATATGCAATTAACTTTTATTGTAGTACAGTTTGGTATATTTTTGTTTTGCATACAATTTGCCCTCCAATTCGAGACCACCATTTAGGACCTGAAAATTTGGTCACAGGATTGACAATAGGAATTGAAGGAATTATTTTCTGTTATGTTTCTTTTATTCTTTTAATTTTAACAGCGAAAACACCAACATGTGATGTAGACAAAAATAGGTTGGACGCCAATCTACACTTCTCCGCTCCATTCAAATTAATAAACATGACAATACAAATCCACGTTCATTCAGACCAGTATTAAAAGCAAAGAATAAAAATTCCTTCACAATAATAGAGCTTTTTTCCAGTCTCTATTATGAGATCTGCACTTTTTTCCCTTTTTGATTCACGGATTAACTCAACAGGAAAAGGTATAGCAACAGAGGAAAGCGTGGACTCCGTGCAGAATATCACGGATAATTCTAATCTCACAGGAGGCAGCAGCCTCACAGCATGAACCACGATAAAGAGGGACTATCCTTTTTCCTGTTAAATAACTTGCTCACCACTCGTTTGAATTCCCTGCACTTGATAATGACTTGTTTAAACTTCCTTTCCAGTGATTTACGACCTCACCAATGGATAAACAAGACTTATAAATTTTGGCTAGCAATTCAAATGAACATGTTTGCTTTTATTGCCTTTGGTTTCTTTAACAAACATACAAGGCAACATGGCCTTTTAAATAGCTAGTACTTACAGGCCTGCTCACTAGACAAAAAAGAAGACTGAGTAAAAATATACTTTATGAGGATACGTATTCTTCATATTGAATAGCATTATGTACTATATATAGCAAAGTTCATGTATTGTAATGTACTCAAAACCACAAAGTGTAAATCATGTTTATCATACACCCACAATCCAACAGAGACACAGGTTTAACAAAGTACTGCACTCATGTTTGAGCCCACAATTATGTGGTGGCCATTTAAGGGAATCAAAGCAATGGTGCAATGGTGTACCAGTATGGTTATGCCACAACTCCAGTAATGTACTATACTGTAAAAATGAGCCCTTAATATTGTAAATATTTCTACCATGGACCTATTAATAGGTCCATGTTTCTACATGGAGTCTGGCCCATGAATAAAAACAATTCAACTCTGCTGATGGGGCCTTACAGGACCTCCGGCTCATGATTGATCCGGGGTAAAAAGACAACTCCAGACAGTGGTAAAGGAGTTGAATCCCCTTACAAGAATTTAGAGTTTAAAAAAATATATAAATTATGCTTTTACACTTTTATTTTTTTTAGAACACATTTTATAAGTACACTGAGGCTGAAATTGCTTAATTAAGAACAAAATAAGAACAAATTGAGGCTGAGGTAAAATGTGAAATAAGGTTTTTATTTAAAAAAAAAAAATAGAAAATCAACAAATCTTATCTGTACCTTA